TGATAATATGTTAGTATCGGTAAATTTTTAATTTTTAATATACCTACTATTAGAGAAAGACTCTCTGTGGCCGTAGACTGTATATGAGTTATAGCCAGTTATATGCAGTTTTGGCTTTAGTGGGATAACATAAATTATGCTTACTACCATATTAGTTCGGAAATGAAATTTGACATTCGAAATCTCTTTAGGTTATCATGTATTCTTCAAGGATTAGAGCATAAAACCAACAAGTATATGTTTGCAGCTGGAGGTTAGAATTTTTTGTCATATATACGGCATGAAGATCCACCTGGAGCCCCTCTGGCGCTGTTGCCGATCCTAAACACAGACAAAGGAGGGGGTTTGTGTATGAGGTTAGCGACCTCATCTCGTAGAAAACTAACTCGCTAAAAAACGCTAACCAGGAAACATGATTCAAGCCCCTTTAACTCTGCCCTGCGGGTTAGCTCTTCATTCAGGAGAGTTATGGTGCCTCATGATGAAAGCCGAGTTCCTTCGGCAGTCAAGAGTCCGATACCCCTTCTGATAACCGGAGTAACCATTCTTTCAGATACATGCAATGTCTATGACTTTTTCAAGTTCCAGCAGAAATGAAAAGACATAACATGAAATGAACCCACCCAACATCGAAGCAGCACCTACGGACCTCCCAATCGACGTTGGTCCACCAACAGTTTAAGAGAACAGTATGGCCATCAGGCAAATCAAGAGCGATAAAGCAGTGGAAACAGATAACATTTTCCGCAGAGGCACTGAAAATAGAAGTAGCAGTAATTGCAAAAATATTCCACCTTCTCTTCAACAGGATCCGACATAAAGAACAAGTACCAACAGACTGGAAAGAATGAAACCTCATCAGAATACAAAAGAAAGGTGACCTCAGCAAGTGTGAGAACTACAAAGGCATCACTCTTCTCTCAATACCAGGGGAAATATTGAACGGGGTATTGTTAAACAGAATGAAGGACATCTGTAAACAGTGGACAGCCATGAGGCAGCTGGACTATCTGGACTTCTCAGATGATCTGGCTCTCCTATCGCACATACACCAACAAATGCAAGAGAATGTGGCCAGAATAGCAGCAGCCTAATCAACAGCAGGTCTCGACATAAACTGAGGGCAAGTCAAGATTCTCTGATATAACGCAACGTGCAAAAACCATATCGCTTTTGATACGGATGCCTTGGCGGACGTAAAAACTCTTACACATCAGGGCAGAATCACTGATCTGCTACGTAGTCTGATCCGAAGGCGAGCTACGAAACCGGTTCACGGATATAATTTCAAACCTTATCAAAATCATCTCAAGTCAAAGGATGTTTACCCGTTTCAGTATATTCCGTTCAGAGGTGGCTAAATAACTCATGGCATTCCGAGCACTCCCGACCATCCCCAAATGTTCTTACTTAAGCCCACTTCAGAGGAGAAATTTAAGGAAACCAGAGGCCAAGTATAGCAAAAGGAATCGTAGGAACACTTTCTGCTGCTTAAGAGTGGTAAAATCGTGGAATCAGTTACTAACTAAGGTGACTCTAGCGACTTCCTTGAGTCATTCCAGAAGAAACTTGAGATATATCATCATAGTTTAATAATATTTCTCCCTAATTCGTTGAATATACCTAAGTTCCTACCTGGAAGCATCAGTGACTAATTTATACTAGATGAGGAAGCCCACCAAGAGAAATCTCCACTTTCCTGTGCACAACCATTTCAGCCACTTGATAATTTGGATATATTGGAGTTCACATCAACTGCCGACTGACTAGAATTAGACAGTCGAGTGGCTAGACCCCCATTCATTGGACACTGCCTAACACCTGTGACCGTACCGAAAGAACAAGAATCGAGTACAAAGAAATCGATTGGTTTATACTAGCATGCGAAAAAGATATTGGATATTGGATTTGATATTAGATCCAAGGACAAATATAGAACCTGATTTAAAAATGAGCGCGAGTCCTGAGGGTGCTACTGCGTTACTCGTTGGGGCGGGGGGCATTGGGTGTGAGCTTTTGAAGAACCTAGTTTATAATGGGTTTAATGACATAACAATCGTATGGTTTTGCGTTTCGTCATTTTTGTGATTTGTTAGGTAGACCTTGATACTATCGATGTGAGCAATTTGAATAGACAATTCCTGTTCAATAAGAAACATGTAGGGCGTTCTAAAGCGGAGGTTTGTTTCTGATTTCAATACTATTTTTGAATCAGACTGCAAGAGAAAATGTCTTAACATTTAAGCCAACCGCTAATATTGTAGCTTATCACAAAAGTATATTCAGGTATTATCTGTTATCAAAATTCTTCATTCATAACCAGCTCATCGTTCGACTCTGAATTCTTCGGAAAGTTTGATATCGTTTTCAATGCTTTGGATAATCTTGGTAAGCAGTAGGTGTGTTTGCTTTTCTGCTTTTTTATGTTATTACTTTGAGGGTTAATTTATCGAGTACTTTTTTCATACTACTCAATGAAAATGTAGTCATTCCTAATTTTTATAGATAGATAGTACAATTTACATAGGAAAATTTATATATATACATATATAATGGGTTTAGTAAAAAGAGATGATCTATGAAGCATGTGATATAATATCAATTTTGTTTTAATAAGACAAGTAATTCGACTCCATATAGCGATTCCACTTGTTCTATTTTCTGTCTAAGTTATAAACGTCACTTAAATCGGTTTTAGTTCATTTCTAAATTTAATATACGTTAACCATTTTGTCGGTTTATACCGTTGTTATTTGTACTATTGTCACTCAATTGTTCCTCTTTGATTGACTTTTTCTCTATGCTAATCGAAAACGATCAATTTAAAATAACTTGTACATATTCTAGGTTTGAGACTTATTGTCGACATCGTTTTGTTCAGAACCAATGTAGTAATATCTAAATGTAACTAGTTTATTCTCCAAGTATTTGAGAATTAGCCACACTAATTGTGAAGATGAATGATATTACTCGTTTGCCCTGACTGAATTAGGTGGATTACTAGTTGTCAAACACTAAATTTGGTAGCTGAAAGTCTAATACCCTAATCATCTAGGCATTACACTTGAGTTAGTGATTTAACTAAGGTGAATTAGACAATCAGTGTAAGATTTTATACAAATGTGTTTTAACTCGTCTTTCTTTATCGAAAAGTGACAACGAATTGAGAAAAACAGCATCTAGTTTCACATCCATGTAGTTGGTTTTAAGCTACATTTTAAAAGGGGGGGCGACTTGTAATTGTATCTGGTTATCCATACTCAAGTTTGCTGTTTAAAGGTCAGACTAAAACCCAATTGTACTAACTTTTAGTCATGGTATCAAGGATGAAAAAACTAAGGATGGGGTATTCAGTCAGCTACAATGTAGAACTTCGTACGTACGTGCATCAGTTCAAGTTGCCGTACAACATTAGTATTAGCAATAATATCCCAAGAATAGGATATTAAAATTCACTGATCAACCGTATTTTTCAAGGCGATCTTTGAGGAGTCATATGGATCTTATCTAAATCCAAAAATAAAACAATTTTAATTTGCCACAACAGGTTATTAAAACTTAATGAAATTAGGAATTAAACTCTGAAACGACAAAATGAATTTTAACACACTCGAATTCGTAGTACTTTAGATTTCCTAAGCGTTTACCATTACCTCGGTTGGTGAAACAGTCAGTTCTAACTAATTTGTAGTGAAAGTCAATTTATAACGTGTATTTGCTTCAGCTTCTATATCCTCTTAGTTACGGAAATTTTTGTATGCATATCCTAAGTATGGACCATTTTTCTGTGTGAAATAAAGCCGCTTGTAATCACCAATCACCACAATTCTCATACAGTCTTGGCTACTCTGTGTTATTCCCAATCCTGTTAGTTATGATTCCTAACAGTTAGATGATATTACCAACTTTATTTTTAGCTCTGATAACAACAAAGTTTTATCCCTACTCTACATGCTTCGGTTTAGGCAGTTGGTTAGTATCATTATCCCGTACATTTACAGACAGATACAACACAGAACTTCGTACATGAGTACATCAGTTCAGATTGCCATACCGCGTTAGCACAGGTGGGTGTAGGAAGGATTTGATCTCGACCAGATTGGTCTCGTGCTGTTACGGGTATGAGGGCGGTTGTCACTTCCCGGCTGCCCACACCGTGGAAGGTTGTTTCTTGAGGGACCTGACAAGGAAGATAGATTAGTGTTGGTCTTAACGACCTGGGAGCGTGACCGCAGAGTCCAAGGGACAACTGCTTGATGCCGGTCACGCACGGCCTTTTTATGAAAGGTATTTTGAGGATTAGCTCCGTTCTTAAAGGCCCTTAGTGGGCACCCTAACCGCTGGAGACGGAAATCCGTGAGGTAGTGGAGGTGTGACGTTTTTAGGGCCGACCTATTCTAACCCTTCCTTCGTTGTGAGAAGGCAGCATCGCTGCAGATGCTGGTTGTCCGATGGAAACACCGTACTGCTGTCACACCCCTCCGCAGTCAGCAATACGACTTCGGCCTCAGACCTTGAGTAGCTGCTTTTAGTCTCATCGTTCTCCAATCGACCTGCCTAGCATGGTAGGACCTGCAGGAACATGTGTTCCAGCCAGTATAGCTCGATTGGGTCATCACGATAGTGAAGCCAGACCACCACGTCAAGGTAGCAGCTACGGTCGGGGTACATTTACAGTATAACTCATATCCAGGTACTTGGTTAGTTATTTGTTCAATGCTACTAATCAATTGTCCACACTTTAAGTTTGGCTACTAAAATTTAACTTGACGCATACAGACAATAACGCTTATCGCTAATAATCTTAAACTTCATCGTTATTACTGACTCAACAAACAGTTATTGTATTTGTATATATTATTCAAGAAGTTCAAGCCAATCTTAAAAAACAGTTGCAATTAAAGTTATCTAAATCCATTGAAATCGTATTCATAGTGTTGTATTTTTTCAGCTGGACGGTTTATACTAGTATTTCATGTATATACTACTTCGTAATAAGTCAGTCAGTTACAACATAGAACTTTGTACGTACGTACATCAGTTCAGGTTGCCGTACCGCATTGACGCAGAGACGCAACTGTCAGTTCAAATCCCATAGCAGAGGTATTACTGGTGATAGAGAAGATTAGGGTTCGGAGATATGGTTCAAGAAGTATAATTCAATGAGATAACTTTAGAAGGAGAAAGATAGAGATGATGATGAATTCAAAAGGTTAGAGTGAGAGAGAACACAAAGAGTGGATGCACCTGAGCCATTGCAAACGATTTTGAGTCATGTCTTTCAAGGTCTCTAACCATTGGTGACTTTCATCTCGCGGACCCCGACCACCTAGTCGACACCTACTGACATGACTCAGTCCACTTGTCAGTGACTTACTTCATGGATTTGTGATTTGTAGTAAAGTATTGAAGAGATTTGTAGACCGTGTTAGTTGGTTTTATACTACAAGACAATGCCTTTTAAGTAGATGAATCACATAGTGTCTTAAATTTTATGGTTTTCAAGCGAATGTGTTTACTGTTTCTTTTGATTCAGATATAATATGTGGTTTTGCACTGGCGCAGGTGCATCCACTCTTTGTGTTCTTTCTAATTCTAACCTTCTGAATTCCTCATAATCTCTATCTTTCTCCTAAATTTATCTCACTGAATTATACTTTTCGAATTATATCTTTGCACCCTAATCTTCTCCATTACTGCTAATAATTCTACTATCGCTAGCACTCTTGGATTTGAACAGTCAATCAATCAGTCAGTTGCAACGTAGAACTTCGTACGTATGTACATAAGTTCAGGTTGCCATACCACATTAGCACATAGACGCAAATGTCAAATCAAATGTCATAGTGATAAAGATAGTAGAGGTATTAATGGTAATGAAGAAGACTAGGGTTTGAAGTTATTATTCAAGAAGTATAATTCAGTAAGACAAATTTAGGAGGAGAAAGATAGAGATGAGGAATGCAGAAGCTTAGAATTTCATAGAACACAAAGAGTGGATGCACATGCTCCATTGCAAACGATTTTGAGCCATGTCATTCCAGGTCTCTAACCATCGGTGACTTTCGTCTCACGGACCCCAACCAGGTAGCCTACATCTACCAACATGACTCAGTCCACTTGTTAGTGACTTCATGGATTTTTGCCTTGTTTTGGTCTTTCCGCCCCTTGGATTTGAACTGACAGTTGCGTCTCTGTGCTAATGTGGTGGTATGGCAACCTGAACTGATGTACTTATGTACGAGTTTCTTCGTTGTATCTGTCTGTCTGTCCGTTTGATATCTTACCAATATTGACGGCAGTTGAAAAAGTAGAGCAGTTTTAAGATTATATAACATTTCTCTTTTTCAATGTGTAATATTTTGTGTCTATAAAGCATTGCACTCCTATTCCTGATTGTTCATTTTTCTTTTATAAAGCTGCACGAAAACATGTCAATCGTTTGTGTATCTCAGCTAAAGTTCCTTTAATTGAATCCGGTACAGCTGGTTACTTGGGACAAGTTGAACCATTGTTACCTATGATTGAAACAAACAATGAATCACAGACTGCTGACACGCAAACAAATGAAGCGTCAGTTCATCGTACCGGATGTTATGAATGTCAACCACGTGGTTTAGGTCAACGTCATTATCCAGCTTGTACAATACGTAATACACCATCGGAACCGATTCATTGTGTTATTTGGTCAAAGTATTTATTCAAGTGAGGAATGGGTTATTAAAAATGTTTGCTTTTTTTAAAGAAAAAAATTCTAATTAGTATTGTTTAGACTAGCGTCTATCAGACAGACAGACAGACAGATACAAGGCAGAACTTCGTATGTAAGTGCATCAGTTCACGTTGCCATGCACCATCAGCACACAGATGTGACTGTCAGTTCAAATCCAAGAGTGATAGCAATAATAGAAGTATTAGCAGTAATGGAGAAGATTAGGGAGCAAAGATATGATTCGAGAAGTATTATTCAGTAAGATAAATTTAGAAGGAGAAAGACAGAGATTATGAGGAATGCATAAGCTTACAATTTCATAGAACACAAAGAGTGGATGCGCCTGCGCCATGGCGAACGATTTTTAGCCATGTCATTCAAGGTCTCTAACCATCGGTGACTACGTAACACATGTCCCAACCACCTCAACTGATGAAGTTTCACTACTTCATCTATTGACTTGCCATTCCTAATGATAGGATTGCTCACACGGTCGTCCCATGATACACTAGCAATGCTTCGGAAACATCGATGATCGAAGACTAGTAACCTACGGAAGTCCTCTACTCTTAACGGCCAAGTGTCGCGTCCGTACAGTAGGACGGACCAAACTGCTGCACAGTACACTCGTCCTTTATTCAGCAAACGGATATCTCGCCTACGCCATAAGTGACGCAGGTTGGTAAAAGCCAATCGAGCCTTCTGTATCCTAGCTAAGATTTCGTCAGTCACCAGGCTATCAGCACTGATCAGACTCCCTAGATATGTGAAGCGGTCTACACGCTCGAATAATTCACTCCCTATCACTAGTTCAGGCGCCGATGCAACCCAATCTTGAAGCAACATTTTACATTTCGGTGGGGAGAACCGCATCCTGAACATGCTTGCATTGTTGCTTAGGGTAGTCAGAAGACTTTGCATTTTGTCAACGTCTTTACCAAGTAGTAGGACTATGTCATCGGCATATTCTAAGAGCGTCTATCAAAAAAATCTATATGACAAAAAGTATGCAACCTTGAACACTGTATCACCGACCTGTTTATTTGTGTCTTGTTACTTCATAAACACTCATCAACCATCGGTTTTCAAGTTAAAACTAAAAAATGAATTGTTAGATAGAAGATACATTGGCGTATATATATATATTTTTTGACTTCATTAGAAGTACTAACACAATTTTTGTAGAGTATTCACTAGTCATATAAACTATGTCTGGTCTTTTTGAAATTATCTGAAAGAATTTTCTTAATCTGAGATTATCATTGGTCTAAATTTATATGTCACGTGTTGTTATGATAGATGAGAGTATAGAGTGAAACAGTTCAACACATTAGACTACACTTACTCATTGATCATGTTTACTGTGAATGGAATTCATTCAGTATGTGAAATATTTTTTGTGTTTTTTTAGCAAATTTAATAAAAATAAATTTCATTGTCATGTTGTAACAAGCTTTATTTTTTGTGTAGAAAAAAATCACAAATTAAAAAAGGTCAGCTTGTTTTCATTGAAATTTGTAGAAACCAGTAATCGATGGTTGTGATTAAATCAAAGAATTTGTGGAGGGTTTTTAAGTGTTTTTGTTTGATATCAATTGAAGGAACGACATGGCTCAAAATGGTTTACAATGGCACTTCAGGTGCATCCATTCGTTGAGCTGTCTCAAATCCCAATTCTTCTGGATTCGTCAGCACCTCTACGTTTGTCTTTCTAATCTTATTTCACCTAATTATACTTCTTGAATAATATCTTCAAATCCTAGTCTTCTTCATTACCATTAATACCTCTACTATCTGTACTATCACTATGGGATTTGATTTGACATTTGCGTCTCTATGCTAATGTGGTGGTATGGCAACATGAATTTATGTACATACGTACGAAGTTCTACGTTGCAACTGACTGACTGAATTGAAGAAAAAAATGTTGAGCATGAATAGTCATGTCCAGTATTATTGTGTTCTGTGGTGCAATTCAATTATGAGAATATGTGTGTTACGTATGCCCAACAACCGGCTGACTTGACGAGCTATGTTTTGAGGTGTAGGAGTAGGTTGGAAGAAAGTTAGCGGCGGTCAAAGCATACATGGCACAAATCCATGAAATTGTGGTGAGAGCTACTTATAAGTAGTATATGATGTGAGTGAAAACGTAATGTCTGGCAGCAGAAGAGGATGGGGGAAGATCAAGAAAGGAAGAGTTCTAACACAATGGAATTTGTATGAAACACATGAATAGTGACAATGAATTGATGTTTGGCAACAGAAACAGTCCAGTTCGATATGATGAACTGATATTTTGCAAATTAACGATTTACGATATGGTTTTCCGATGATTCTACTGAGTAACTCTGTAATTTTCGTTAAACACGTTTTGGTCGCCCCACCTGCGTTCTCGTTCACTACAAAGTTACTGACGGGTGGACTGAGTCATGTTAGCACGCGTAAACTACATCCTAGTTGGAGTCCGCGAGACAATAGTAACCGATGGTTACAGATCTTGAATGACATGGCTCAAAATTGTTTAAATCGAGGCAGATGCATCCATTCTTTGTGTTCCTTCAAATGCTAATCTTTTGAATTGTTCATCGCTTCTATCTATCTCTTTCTAAAGTTATCTCATTGAATTATACTTCTTGAATCATATCTTCAAACTCTAATCTTCTCCATTACCAGTAATACCTCTGCTATCTCTACCACTATTCGATTTGAACTGACAGTCGCGTCTCTGTGCTGATTCGGTAAGGCAACCTGAACTGATGTATGCTTGTACGAAGTTGTATGATGTAACTGACTGACTGAATCTTAACGCTTAGGCTTTTGTATGGGTGCGTATATTTTTTTCATAATCTAGGCTTGTTCAACTTTTCACATCTTGCTAAAAAGTTTTTCCTATAATCCTTCAATGACGATGAGAGTGTACGTTAAACATTTCAAGCAGACTAAAGTTGGAGATATGGTGTATTAAATTACAACTCGTTGGTGGTGGTCCATTAGATGTACCAGAGAAGTACATTAACCTTATACAAGCTCTATACTCGAACACCACTGGTCGAGTGAGAGCTTAAGGCGAACTGTCACCGGAATTCTTCACTTCAAGTGGTGTCCGTCAGGAATGTCCACTTTCTCCATTCTTGTTTAATTTTATCATTGACATGCTCCTAGAAATAACCTTATCCTCGTCTGAATTTTAAGGAGTAGATCTATTACCGGGAGGCTCGCTTATCGACTTAGAATATGCCGATGACATTGTCCTACTTGGTGAAGACGCTGATAAAATGCAGTCTTCTGACCACCATAAGCAACAATGCAAGCATGTTCGGGATGCGGTTTTCCCCCTCGAAATGCAAAATGTTACTTCAAGACTGGGTTGCATCGGCACCTGAACTAGTGATAGGGAGTGAAGTAGTCGTGCGTGTAGACCGCTTCACTTATCTTGGGAGTCTGATCAGTGCTGATAGCCTGGTGACTGACGAAGTCTCAGCTCGGATAGAGAAGGCTCTATTGGCTTTTGCCAACCTGCGTCACCTATGGCTCAGGCGAGATATCCGTTTGCTGATTAAAGGACGAGTGTACTGTGCAGCAGTTCGCTCCGTTCTCCTATATGGCTGTGAAACATGGCCACTGAGAGTAGAAGATATTCGTAGGTTACTGGTTTTCGATCATAGGTGTCTTCGAAGCATTGCTCGTATATCCTGGAATAATCGAGTGAGCGACGTTGTTATTAGGAAACGGGTGCTAGGTAAGAATGGCAGATCAATAGATCAATTCATGAAGTCATTGACGAGTGGACTTAGCCATGTCGGTAGTTGTCGACTACCAGGTTGGGGTCCGCGAGATGAAAGTAGTAATCAATGGTTAGAGACCCTGAATTACATGGCTCAAAACCATTTGCAATCACGCAGGTTCATTCATTCTTTGTCTGCTCTCAAATCCTAATCTTCTGGATTCTTCAACCTCTCTAGTTTTGTCTTTCTAAATTTTTCTCACTGAATCATACTTGTTGAATAAAATCTTCTAATCCTAACCTCTCCGAATACTTCTAATACCTTTACTACCTCTACTACTATTGGACTTGAATTGACAAATAAATCTCTGTGCTGATGTGGTATGGTGACATGAGCTGATGTGCTTACGTACGAAGTTCTACGTTGCATCTGACTGACTGACTGGTGGTGGTCCAAGCACTGCTAGACCTGTGGGTTTCAAATGTTACTCTCTCTCTCTCTTTCCCCCTCTTAGGAATCTCAAATTAGGATGACGTAACTATACGAAAGTCGTTTTTGTAGTCCTCCACATTGTGTCCAAATTGTTTTTTCTTTTCTATTTGTTAGTCAATTATTTGGTCAACCCGACGCGGATGATGAAGACGTGTCACCAGATTTCACTGATCCAAATCTACACAATCACAATCATACTAATAATCATCAAGCAAATGACAAGGAGGAGTTATCCCCAGTTAAAAATAATCATCTTACTAATCAATCTGGTGATATACTCCATACAGAAGATGATGCAGGAGTTCATTCTGATTCAATGATGAAATCGAAACAAATTACTTTAAGAGAATGGTTTCATAATTTATGGTCTAATAATAATAATAATAATAATAATAATAATAATAATAATAATAATAATAATAATAATCATAATGGCAACAAAGATCAGTCTAATCTAGTGAAGGATCATCTATCATCAGCTGCCGTTTCATTAACATGGCGATTATTTCATCATGATATTGTTACATTAGTTAGTATGCGTGATTTATGGATCGACCGACAAGATCGTCAAGAACCAACACCGTTGGAGAAGACTACGCTAAACGATGCATTGGATAATAATTCAGGTGAATTGATAAAAAAAACAATTTTTTTCACATGAGTTTTCATCTAATATAAATTTGTGTGTTGATATTATCCAGATGGTTAGTGTAACTGCTCATTAGATTATACAAGTCTCGTGTGCCCCGACTGTAGCTGCTACTTTGACGTGGTGTTGGTTGGGCTTGCCTATGGTGATGACCCAACCGAGCGGTATATTGGCTGGAACATATGTTCCTGAAGGTTCTGCCATGCTAGGCAGGTCGATTAGGAGAACGATGAGACTAAAAGCAGCTATCCAAGGTCTGAGGGCGAAGTCGTACTGCTGACTGTGATGGAGGGGTGTGACAACAGTAAGGTGTTTCCCTCGGACAACAAGCAGCATCTGCAGCGATGCTGCCTTCTCACAACGAAGGAAGGGTTAGAAAAGGTCGACACTAAAAATGTCACATCTCACCCTACCTCACGGATTTCCGTCTCCTTGGGTAAGGGTGCCCACTAAGGGCCTTTAAGAACGGAGCTAATCCTCAAAAAACGTTTCATAAAAAGGCCGTGCGTGACCGGCCCCAAGCAGTTGTCCCTTGGACTCTGCGGTCACGCACCCAGGTCTCTAAGACCAACACTAATCTATCTTCGTCTTCAGGTTCCTCAAGAAACAACCTTCCACGGTGTGGGCAGCCGGGAAGTGATAACCGCCCTCATACCCGTAACAGCACACGAGACCTAATTGTTGGAAATCAAATCCTTCCTACACCCATACATACCTCTCTTCTCTCCACAACGAACTCTACTCATAGTCTCTTTTCTCATTGCCCCGCTAATGCAGACGAAGCGAGTTCACGAAACGTCTCGTGTGCTGTGAAGGGTACGAGGGCGGATGTCTTTTCCTGACTGTTCACACCGTGGAAGGATGTTTATTAAGGAACCTGTAAACGAAGTTGGATTAGTGTTGGTCTTAGAGACCTGGGAGCTTGACCGCAGAGCTCAAGGGACAACTGCTTGATGCAGGCCACACACGGCCTATTTATGGGTGGTTAGTAGAGTGTTAGCTCCGTTCTTTAAGTATCTGTACAGCCAGAGACGGAAATCCGTGAGATAAGGTGAGATGTGACATTTTTAGGGTTGACCTTTTCTAACCCCTTCCTTCCTTGTGAGAAGGCAGTATCTCTACAAATGCGGGTTGTCTGAGGGGAACACCTTACTGCCGTCACACCCCTCTACAGTCAGCAGTATGACTTCGCTCTCAGAACTTCAGTTGCTGCTTTTAGTCTCATTATTCTCCAATTGATCTGCCTGGCATTGTAGAACCTACAGGAACATAGATTCCAGCTAATATAGCTTGGTTGGGTGGTCACGATAGGCAGGTCCGACTAACACCACGTAAAGATAGCAGCTACGGTCGGAATTAAACTACAATAATGTTTGAAAATTTAACTGTTTAACTTTCATAAAGTTGTAGGAAAAATCAATCATCGTTTACATCAACATGTGTGCAATGTTTGCTGTTCTAGGTATTGTGTATTGGAATAGTGGCTCACTCGAACCAAAAAATTCGCATCCGTGCCACCATTAAACATAATTGCTCCCTCTTGATCTATTTTCTCTTCAAGTATACTTTTTCACATTGTCTTTTCAGACCGTATGCTTGAGGCTGTCTTCTTAAAATATCATTATTTGATAATTTTTTATCGCGTTATGCTAATATGATGTGAAAACTTGGGCTAACACACATATATGTGTCAAACCTCTATGTTGATGATGCGTGTCTGGTAGATGGAGACTACCTAGCTGGGTCGGGGTCTGATATGTTGATATGCTTGAAACTATTATGAGTTCACCCTACTCGGTAAACGGAACAAAGATCAACAATACAATGACATAATAGGCTATTCTGATCCGTTGTCCCAGTCCCGGCTAACTATAGTAAGTAGTCTTGATAAGGCGTAGAGACTGTATTGTACAAGCACACAGAAAATATAAGGTTTTTCAAGCACACAAGTCAAGGTTATTTATACAATGATAGCAACGTCCTTGGGAGAGCCACAAAAATAGCATACTAAAATAATCCATCAATCAAAGACAGTCAAGGGTTTTCCGAGTGAGAAATGTAATTTCAAGGTCAACTAAAGCAGCTTATGCGCGAAAACATGAAAAATTCAAAATTAGAACGTGTTCTAAGTGATTTCTGGGAGTCTGACGTCACCAAACACTATTATAACTAGTGCTTGTAAGATGTTGGTTGATTTGATTCAAACACGCGGACGCATTCACTCTTTGTCTTCTTTTAGATCCCAAATACCTTGTATCCAACGAATCCGTCATATATTGACTATTGATCTTTAGATAAAATATTGGGTATTTATAGGTCGCTAGCCATTCAATCGATCATGGGTATCTCCGAAAGCGCACTGTTGGTATATTTTTGAACCGCCGACTGAACCATTCTGAGGTTAAACACAGAGTGCTTGTTATAACGCTGCTACGTATAACTACTATTCAGTCCTAGCGGCATCCAATTCAAATATCCCAATACGACCCAAAATGCTATTTCCAAATCTCCTAGATATCAGAACGCAACACCGTTGGATGAAGTTGTTTATTGGGTCGAATACAGAAGAGAGAGGTAGGCAGGAAGAACGGATTTGGAATCCGCATCATAAAGTCTTACAGATAGTGCGTATTTATACATTTTTTGGTCGAATAGGAAAGAGCATCAAGTCTGTGACATTGACAGTTTAAGACGACGACCAATAGGAATGAACATTTGAAATGACATTGACAGTCCGGATGACTACCAATCAGAGACAACATTGAAGTATTTGACTTTGACAGTTAGAACGACCATAATTTCGACCAATAGGATTATACTTCCAAAAATAGTAGTATTCTTAGGATATTTGGTGAATATCCTAACAGTACTAAGTAAGTGTGATAAGTTGATTGAAAAGATATAGTGAGTGAGGCGATTGGAAGTTGTTCAATGTTGGTCGATGTAGGAATAGATTGTGAGAAAGATAGATATAGGAGGCCAAAGTAAGATATATTAAGTACATTAGTCCATGAAAATACTGACTATTTAGCTGATCCATATAGGTAGATGTGCATTACCTAGTTGGGATCCACATGGGGGGCATCATTGCCAGTGGTTAGAGACTTCAAGTGACATAGTTGAAATTAGCTTTTTCAATACGTCATCTCTCCTGTTACTACTAATATACTATTACTACCTTTATTAATCTGAGATTTATTTTAATAATTTCATCTCTCTGTGGTGGTGGTGTTTGGTTCTCTGAGCTTGGGATGTTTTGGTTGTGGAGCTTTCATTGTTCTTGTGAACAACATCATCAGCAGCGCCGTACGCTGCCGAGCATGGATGGGGGAGTCGGGGGCACAGTTGTTGGCGTCGCAATTTATCGAGAGTGTGCCTGCCGCCGTGTCCCAGCAGCGGGAACTAGTAAACGCTACACGTTGAATAGATGCTGTATCCATTCCAGACCAGCGGGCAAGAACAATTCGGTTGCCCCACCTGTGTTCTCCTTCACTACATTTGGTGTCGCTGCCTGCTCGAAGGAAGGAGTTCCCGTGGCCGAAGGAGTTGGAGGACGGAGATTTGCGGAGCTTCCTGGAGGAGTTTGAGGCCGCGGTGGAGCTGGTGGGTGTGAAGGGGCCCGGGGCGAAGTTGGTGGTGCTGGGGACGCTGCTGAGAGGAAGGGCGAAGGCCGTATATGACAGCTTGGACGGTGCTGGCGGGAAGACGCCATGGGAGACGGTCACCGGGCGGCTGATGACGGAGTTCGACAGCCCAGTGGACAGGGAGAAGGCGCTGCAGGAGTTCCGGTTGGCGAGGCTGTCGGCTGATGGTGACCCGTTGGTGCTTGCTGTGGAGCTCACCAGATTGTTGCGCCGTGCGCTGCCGAACATCGATGGGGAGTCGGAGGCACAGTTGTTGACGTCGCAGTTTATCGAGAGTGTGCCTGCCGCCTTGTCCCAGCAGCTGAGACTAGTAAATGCAGCATGACCTATGTATATCGGTGAACTGGCGAAGGTGACTCGTCAGCTGATGACACGAACAGTAGCTCCGGTCGGGTGCGAAAAGCAGGAGATAAATACTTTCGAGAAGAAGATTGGGGAGTTAGAGCGTGAGATGGCAGCATTACGAGTGGATCTTCTCCACCAACTCATCTCTCTGTAGTAATCAGATATGACAACTGGAATCGATATGCACATCTATTCAGTTCTACGTTGTTCATCATTGACACTATGTAATTCCTTAATAATGACATTTTTTAAATTTGTTTGCATAAACTCACCACACTGTATAAGCTGATTTCCATTTTTTTCAACTACAATTATAGATGAATGCGTGGATTCCACTTCTTCCAATGGATTACGTGATCAACGTACATTATCTACATCAGGTTGGCTTCGTATTTTCTTAAAATCTGTTGACAAACTACAAAAACGTATCGATGAGAATGTTAACAGTGGAGATACATATTTAGTATGGGATAAGGTAAGCATTTACAATAATATTTCAAAAAAGTTTTACTTATATAATACCTGTTACGCCCTAATTATGAAGCTTAGGCCGCGGACTAACAAATTATTATTCCTAATCAGTAATTTTTTTGTAGCCAGTTGGATTTTTACGGGATAGGGTCTCGCTAACCCCATGCCTAACCCTCTTCATTTATCTAGGCTTGGGTCCCGACAGTAACCCCAGAAGGGCTCTAGGCGGAGTTTTTTCCTAGAAGAAATAGTAATTTAAAATCTCCTGGGACACCCGAGTGAGCGACGCTGTTATTAGGAATCGGGTGTTAGGTAAGAATGACAGATCAATAGATGAAGTAATGAAACTTCATCAGTTGAGGTGGTTGGGACATGTGTTGTGTATGCCTAACCACCGACTGCCTCGACGAGCTATGTTTTGTGGTGTAGGAGTAGGTTGGAAGAAAGTTAGGGGCGGCCAAACCAAAACATGGCACAAATCCATGAAGTCATTGACGAGTGGACTGAGTCATATCGGTAGGTGTCGACTACTTGGTTGGGGTCCGCGAGATGATAGTAGTAATCGATGGTTAGAGACCTTGAATGACATGGCTCAAAATCGTTCGCAATGGCGCAGGTGCATTTATTCTTTGTGTCCTTTCAAATCCTAATCTTCTGGATTCTTCAACCCCTTTAATTTTGACTTTCTAAACTTTTCTCACTGAATCATACTTCTTGAATAGTATCTTCTAACCCTAACCTCTCCGATTACTTCTAATACCTTTACTATCTCTTCTACTATTGGATTTGAATTGACTATTACATCTCTGTGCTAATGTGATATGGTGACATGAACTGATGTACATACGTACGAAGTTCTACGTTGCATCTGACTGACTGGATTTAAAATCTCAACCGGTTAACTAATAGTTTTCTAGCCATTTCATTGATGTTCGACATTTTTTTCGGTTGAAATACAGATAGCTTTCAGTCAGTCAGTCATTTACAACGTAGAACTTTGTACGTACGTACATCAGTTCAAGTGGCCATATCACACATGAACACACAGAGTCGCAATTGTTAGTTTAAATCCCATAGTGGTAGAGGTAGTATAAGTATTAGCAGTAATGTAAAAGATCTAGCTTTCAATAAATAGGCTGTAAGTTTGTGTTATACTCGTCAATTGATATACTTGAATGCTATTACTTAGTTCACCTTAGTCGGTAAATGAGAGCGAAGATAAATGATCCAGTGATACGATTGGCTACTCTAATTCGAGCGTCCCAAGGACCCACTAAGTAAAGGGGTATTTCTGGAAGGTTATTTCTTGAGGAACCTGAAGAAGAAGTTTGATTGGTGTTGATCTTGGTGACCTAGGAGCTTAACCATAAAATCCAGGAGATAACTACTTGATACCGGAAGATTTTGAAATGTTAGTTCCGCTCTTCAAATGCTTTTACCACCGGAGACGGAAATCCATGGGGTATATAGTGAGCCGTGTCATTTTTAGAGTCGACCTTTTCTAACCCCCCTTCCTTTCGTTGTAAAAAGGTAGTATTACTGCAGATGCTGGTTGTCTGAGGGATACACCTTATTGCAGCCAACAGTACGAATTTGCCCTCAGACGTATGTACCATACGAACTTATACGTTGTAGCTGACTGATTGACTGACTGACTGACACGTTGGGAGGGAGTTTAAAGCCAGTCCTCATCATCATGATCATCAACACCACTGGAGGAGATACTTGCCACTGATCATCCTAGATCTACATTGCTGCTAGTCATAATGTGGTGCGAGCTACTTATAAGTAGTATATGACGTGAGTGTCAACGTAATGTCTGGCAGCAGAATATGGGGCAAGATTAAGAAAGGAAGAGTTAGAACACAAAATGGCATTCGTATGAAACGCATGAATAGTGAGTGACAATGGATTGTTGATGTTTTGCAACAGGAACAGTCCATTTCGATATGATGATGAACTAATATTTTGCAAATGAACGATTTACGATATGGTTTTCCGATTTTATTGAGTAACTCTGTAATTTTCGTTAAATACAATTCGATTGCCCTCACCTGTGTTCTCGTTCACTACATTAATTCATACTTATATATTACTACTATTATTACTACTCCAAGTACTAATCCCTTTTTTTTCTTAATTATAATAGGATGATCAAGAAGCTATGGATTTTGTTGCTAGTGCGTCGATTATTCGATCACAATTATTTCATTTACCTGATGCAAATGAATTAACACGTTTTATGATTAAATCATTAGCTGGAAATATTATACCAGCTGTTGCATCTACAAATGCTATTGTTGCTGGTCTAATGGTATTACAAGCTAGACATATTCTGTCAAAACAATATGAGGTAATTAGTATAGTATAGGTTTTCTTTTGTTGTTGTTGTTGTTGAGTGAATTTGAGAAAAGTGAGGCAATAAGCCGGCTTAATCAATACGCGATATCAATTCATGAAGTCGTCGGCTGTTCATTGATAAATGCAGACCATTTTGTTGAAAGTCTGCGTGATGAACTTGCGATCAGTTGCTGAAGACCTTATGTTTGTGAAATGATTGATTGATGATTTCAAATGTGTAAAAACGCAAACCTCCAAAACTGTGCCCCAAAATATTGTAACAGTACTCACTAGTGACTAGCTTCGTGAGTAAATTCTCGGAGTTCTAGTTAAGAAGATGTGATCAATGGAGTTCAACTCTGTCGGGTGTAGGCAGTAACTACCAAAGACAAATGGGTGAGGTCGCGCGAAATCCCTAGATCAATCAGAGTTAGACATTAACACCGTTGGATGCCTAACCACTGGACTACTGAGCCGGTATTCAACGGTGTTAATGTCTAGATTGGTCAATTCACTGTCTTGCGCAACATCATAGACTGTCTTCGGTAGTTACTGTCTACATCCGAACAGGTTGAACTTCACTGGTTAAGACTTCTCACTAGAACTCGGAGAAGATTCCTCACGAAGCTGGTCACTAGTGAGCACAGGTAATTTGCAATACGGGGTTATGAAGATTGTTAAGTTACACATTTTTGAAACCATGAATCGATCAATGTTAGACATTAACACCGTTAGATACCAGCTCAGTGGTCCAGTGGTTAGGCGTTCGCCTACAATGCCAAAGGTCCCGGGTTCGAATCCTACGAGGAGCAGGAGTCGTGGATGCGCACTGCTGATGAGTCCCGTACCAGGACGAAACGGCCGTCCAGTGCTTTCAGGTTTCTAATGGTGGTCTAACAATGATTGATTGATGATTTCAAATGTGTAAAAATGATTTAGATTTGTTCAATAATGACTCAGATGTACTAGCATCTAAATCAAAACATGTCACAAATCCATGAAGTCATTGACAAGTGGACTAAGTCATGTTTGTAGGTGTAGACTATCTGGTTAAGATCCTAACCAATGGTTAGAGACTTTGAATGACATGACTCAAAATTGTTTGCAATGGCGCAGCTGTATCCATCTTTTGTCTTCTCTTATTACCTCCGAATATTTTCATGGTTCTTTTTGAATTCATTTCACTGGATTATACTTTTTGAATAATTTCTTCGAACCTGGAAGCGCTGGATCTCCGTCTCGTCCTAGTATGCGACTTATCAACTGTGCTCATTCTCGACCCATCAAATGGGAATTGAACCCAGGAACTTCGTTCTCACGTATAAACATGTAATCTTCAGACCACTTAACCAGAATCCAACATTGCTATTGTATAACTTCAAGCAATCCACGATTTCGTGCAACCTCATCGCACTGATCACGGCTTCCCTCTAGAATTTCGATGATTTCTTAATAAAGCTAATCATTCCGCTTACGAGGGTTGCGGGTGCTCACTGATGATGATCCACCTATTTCGATGAAATGCCTCCATGTTTCTAATGATGGTAGTCTAACATTGATTGACGCATGAATACAATGAAACTCATCAATCTTTTACACAATCTTCATCATACTGACAAATGTGACTTTGTGTTGTACACTAAGCTCATTTTTTATTAAACACTTCAAACTTGTTGTTACACTCATCTCTAGATATGCTTAAAACTATTACTAGTTCACCTTAGTCGACTAACGAGAACAAAACAATGAACCAGCGTCCAGGTAGGCGACTGTGATCCCTTGACTAAATTGAACCAGCAACAAGTCTTGATATAGTGTAGAAATTGTATTCTACAAACACTCAGTCAGCACACAATGAATGCAAGCACTCAAATCGCGTTTATTTATACTCGCCATAGAGACATCCGTGGGACAGTCACAAAAATAGCACACTAAAATGACACAGTAACCAATCACAACCAAGGATTTTCCTGGTGGGAAACGTGATCTCAAGGTCAAGGTCAGATCAGTGAATGAATAAAATCCAAAATAAAGATATTTATCAAGCAAGTTCTGAGAATCTAACACCCCCAACACTTGTACACAGTAAAACAAGACTCAATTTTTATTCTGTAGCATGAAAAAGAGATCCAGGTTTGCTTGATTGTACGAAGTAAGTTACATTTGATAAAGTTCTTTCACGGTTTGTGTCGAATTAAAAAACGCAGACGCAAATGTCTTTCTTTTTTTTTCTCATGTAACCGGAATTTTCGTTTTATTTTTGGAAAGATAAGTCCAGTGGCACAATACATAAGCATCATAAATACATGGAAATTTTTCTTGGTCACATAGTCATAGCTATCTATGTCTACTGTTTTGACAGATATTTTGAAGATTATAGTTGTATATTACTTAATTACATTTTAAGTAGTAGTATTTTTGTTAGGTAATTTTTTTGTCAACAACAGTGGTTAATTTTGCTCTCTCTCTCTCTCTCTCTTCATAGCGTATTCGTACTGTCTATTTACATCGTCAACCGACCGCTGGTCGTCGTGGTAATCGTCGTCTTGTTGTACCTGTTGAACCGGCACCACCAAATCCATCTTGTTTTGTATGTAGTGATTCAGTGAGAAAATCTCAGTTACATTTACTTTGTGCACCGGAATTAATCACATTACGTATTCTACGTGATCGTATACTCAAACATTATTTAGGTATGCTTGCACCCGATGTAGAAATACCTGATCGTGGCATTATTTTGATATCAAGTGAAGAAGGAGAAACTGATGAAAGTTAGTTTCTTATTAATTTTTTCTATGTACAGTTGTTGACAGATAATCAGATGGGCGGTAAAATTTATTGATAATTTAAACTTTCGTCATTTTCTTTCGATAAAATGGTAAAACAAACTGAAAATCAAAGTGATTATTAGATGTCTACAGGCTGTTAAATGCTCTAGTATAGTTGAGAGTGAGGATAGTCAGCTCTCCCTGAGAAGACTGAGGCAGGCGCGGAAGATTGTATTTGGCAAATTTACACTTTTAATCAATTAAAAACGAAAACATTACATTGAACACCACTCTATTTGCACACCATCTTTGGGTGACCGGCTGACATGAGACTGCATTTCGTGACGTTGCTCTATTGTGTTATAGATTTGACCTGTAGATTGAGGGTTCGGAGAGTGAGTTCCCAAGAAAATGATGTGCTTTGGTTTAAGCATGCGTACAGTATCTCAGCCTACCTATAAATTTGTGTGAAGCAGAAATATTTCGATGTCTCTTTATGTTAATGTTTACGGACGAAATGAAATATTTACAGACTGTACAATTCACAGTTTATGTGATATTAATTTCTTGATGGAATATCTTTTCCCAGTAATAGTATCATCCTTGAACCTCAACACTAAATATAACTTACTCATGTACGCTTGTTACCCCATTGGTCGGCGATCAGCATTCCCCAACTTACTCTGTCCAGTGCCTTCCTTTCCAGTTCTAACCAATCGTTTTCAATTCTTATCGTACTGTGTGAGAATATGATGTAAGGGAAATGAAATAATGATAGGTACTGAGTTCGCTTTTCAATCCGATCAGTAACACTAAGATTCAGGTGTATTGAGCTGAAATGTTTCCGATGAGATGAGATTTACTACATAGATTATATTTCACTGCTAGTTTACGTAACTAATGTTCACTGTTCAACGTTCAATATTTGTATCATGGATGATTTTATTGTTTGTATCGATTGTCTCTTTTCTCTTCTCTGTTTATTCCAGCAACATTGAATAAAACATTAGCTGATTTCAGCCTAATCCATGGTACTTGTTTACATTGTGATGATTTTCGTCAAGATTTCACTATTCAACTGATTTTATCCTGTATTAGTGTTGAATTAGCTAATCAGTTATCGTCTACTACTCCTCCTCATTCATTGCCATTGCCATTATCCACTGCCGCATTCAATATGAATATCAGTAATGAAGAACAACAATTGGAAACATGGAGAATTATTGGTGATATGAATACTGTATTATCGAATTGTAAAGATCATGTATCAGTTGAGAAAAAAGCTAAATATGAGAATGATGAAAATGATACAGGTAAGGAAAGAAAGATAGATAGAGAGAGAGAACGTATTTATTTTTAGTTATGAACGAGTTCACCTTAGTCAGTAAACGAGAGAGTGAGCATGGAGGATCTGGCTACACACTACAGGCTAATCTAATCCGAGCGTTCCAACTCTCCACTGAGTAGAAGAAGAAGACTTGATAGATGAATTAGAACATGTATTCTACAAGCATCCAGAAATTCACGCGGTCCGAGTTCAGAAGATGATAAGGAATCCGGACTAGTATCAGGATCCTAGAGTCAGTCAGTCAGTTGCAACGTAGAACTTCGTACATATGTACATAAGTCCATGTCGCCATACCACATTAACACAATGACGCAAATGTCAGTTCAAATCCCATAGTGATAGTAGAGATAGTAGAGGTATATTAATAGTAATGAAGAAGACTAAAGTTTGAAGATATTATTCAAAAAATATAATTCAGTGAGATAAGGTTAGGAAAACAAAGGTAGATGTGCTGACAAATCCAAAAGATTAGGATTTGAGAGAGCACAATGAATGGATGCACCTGTAGTGCCATTGCAAACGATTTTGAGCCATGTCGTTCAAGGTCTCTAACCATTGATGACTTTCGTCTCGCGGACCCCAACCAGGTAGTCTACATCTACCAACATGACTCAGTCCACTTGTCAGTGACTTCATGGATTTGTGCCATGTTTTTGTTTGGCCGCCCCTAGAACGTTACAGACGATGCATTTTTATACAATTAGATCAAATAGGAAACAACATTTGAAGTATGTGACATTGGATAGTTAGTTAGCCCGACCAACAGGAATGAACCGATAGGATTAAACCTTCAGTATAATTGTCTTATGATATTTGATGAATATGCTAACATTTTTGCTTGTATACATATCGTTTTTCGGGAGGTATACATGTGAATATTACGCATGCTATTTTGTTGTGTAACGTTCGAAGAAATTCCGATCAAATGAAATGCATTTATATGTTTGGAGAAGAATATTGTTTATACTTACTTACATTTACAATACTAGCTCCTGCTTGTCTTCTTCCATATCAACTCTGATGTTCAATATATTTTGATCTCCTGACACCTCTCTCTCTCTCTGGTAGCAATGTCTAGGCGACGCTTCGCTCGATTCAAATCCCATAGTATTAGAGGTAATGGAAGTATAAACAGTAATCGAAGAGATCATGGTCCGAAGATATTATTCAAGAAGTATGTTCCAGTGAAATAGATTTGTAAAGAGAAAGATGAAGGTCATGAGGAGTTTTTTGACTAGAACCTGAGAGAACATAAAGATTGGATGCATCTGCGCCATTGTAAACAATTATGAGCCATATCGTTCACTTTCTCTAACCATCGATTATTATCATTTCGCGGACCCCAACCAACTAGTCTACACCTACCAACACGACTCAGTCCACTTGTCAGTGACCTCATAGATTTGTGCCATGTTTTGGTCTGGCCAACCCTAGTTTTATCCCAGCCTACTACAATTTCAAAAAATATTGGCAAAAAAAACCTTTAACTGAAACACTTTTCATTTCGCCACAATTTAGATTGGCTTTCAAATGTTCTTATATGGTCACACGTATAATAGCCACTTCCAACGAAGTCCTACTCATTTCCTTCCCATAGGAGAGGGGGGGCTTTATTTACAAAACTTAGGGGACAAAAAGCGAATGTCCATTAATTTAACCGGGTTGGTTTGTATATAGAGGAATTCATGTAGTTAGGGGATTGTTGGAAAAATCTGATTCTGTCCTGAAGTAACAAATAGCATATGAATTTATTGGTGGTGACTGGCTAACATTGGACTGCATCCCTTAACTTTACTACACTATGTGGTAAATTAAACCTGTAGGGTTAGGACAGTGGTTCTCTGGGAAATTCACTTGTATCTTTTCGGTCACCTTGACATCACCTTGCATCCCATACACAAATTTATTGATTTGTAAGACGCATCATCATCAACTGCCTAGATGAGTGATGTTTTGTGGTGTATGAGTAGATTGGAAGAAAGCTAGGGTCAACCAAACCAAAACATGGCACAAATCCATGAAGTCTCTGACAACTGGGTTGAGTCATGTTGACAGGTAAAAACTACCCGGTTGGGGTCCGCGAGATGTGATAGTAATCTATGGTCAGAGACTTTGAATGACATGGCTCAAAATCGTTTGAAATGACGCAGGTGCATCCTGTCTTTGTGTCCCCTCAAATTACAATCTTCTGAACTCCTACTCACCTGTATCCTTCTAAATATATTGCACTAAATTATACTTGACTAAAATTTTCGAACCCTAATCTTTATCACTGGCTAATACTGTTATTATCTATACTACGATGGGATTTGAATTGACAATTGCATCTCCGTGAGAATGTGGTATTGTTACGCCTGCACGTAAACACGTCAACTTGATATACTTGAACTATTACGAGTTTGCCTAGTCGGAAAATGGGGCCGAAGATCGAGGATCCGACTACACAACATACTACTCAAATCCGATTATTCCAACCCACATACTGAGTAAAGAATGAGAAGACATGATATGAAGTAGAACCCGTATTCTACAAGCATCCAGAAGACATGAGGTCCGAGTCCAGGAGAGAATCAGGATACCGGACTAAGGATCCGGGTCCTGGTCCTGGTCCTAAAATGTTACAGATAATGCGTATTTATACATTTTGTTCGAAGTTTATGACACTGACAATTAAGACGACCAATAGGAAGCAACATTTGAAGTGACATTGATAGCCAGGACAACCAATAAGAAACAACATTGGAGCGCGTGACACTGATATCTAGGACGACCATAAAATTGACCAGTAGGAATTAACCAATAGGAATTGGATGAATATCCTAACAGATATAGCTAGTTGAACCTATGTACGTACGTATGTATGTAGTAGGTACTAAGTTATAGGTGATTGATGTTACATAACTTTCATTGTCGTGTTGTTTTGTTCGATAAGAATAGTTCACTCTCGTCACTTTTAATCTCTAATTAGAGTATGACACCTTTTCATTCAAAATATGCTGTAAATACCAATCAGTACAAATATGCCTTGACCCTTATTCGGTTGGTTCAATGTAAGTTTGCTTTAGAAATCAAAAAATCCCATTCTCCACATTTATATCCTCATTTTCATTATATAATAATAACAATTATTTTTATTATACTTTTTATTTTATTTAGAAAAATCTATTGATAATAATGATTTAATTGAAATTGAAATAGAAACTCCTGAAAATTTAAACAATAATGATATTACTACTAGTACTACTACTAACAACAATATTATAAGTAGTATCACAACAAAGAGTGGTAAACGTAAATTTCTCGATACCACAACATCAACAACAACAACTGGTAGTAGTCGTAGTGATACTGAAGATAATTTTATGCCTAATAGAACGAAAGAGAAAAAGCTACGTCTGGATGAAGAGTCGAAAATAACAACGGCCACACCAACATCATCATCAGCATCATCATCTCCTATCATCATGATATCCATGGCTGACAATGACGCCGAGGACGATAACGACGATTTAATCCTTATTGAGTGAATAATGAATTCAATAACTGAAGTGTTGTCCTGTCATGTAACACTTAATCTGTACTTGGATGCATTTATGTATTGCGGGCCTTTGTGTGTGTGTGTGTGTGGGGGTGCTAGTGTGTGTGTGTACATGTCTTGTTATTTGGTTTTTTTTAATACAAAGTTTACATTTGTTACATTTGGTGAATTGCGCCTTTTTCTTTTTTGTGTACCGTGAGAAAACACAGATGACAGATTGAGATCCTCTCAGTTATTCTTCTCACTTATTAACTCACTCACCTTCGCTCTCCTTCACTCGCTCTCTAACTCTGTTTCCACTTTTTCTTCACTTAATTTTATCTCTCTTATTGACCGGTCTGTTACCAGTTTACTTCTGTGTTTTTATGTACAACTGTTCATTATTTTTAGTTTTGCTATGTAACTCGTATTTGAAATATGATTTTTGTCTGAGCTTGTATTTTGTACTACTATTCAATAGATACGATAAATATGTGTGTATGCGCATAAATACAAATAAATCGAACCATTCTAACTCTGATATTGTTTTGTTTTGGTTTTTATCACTGTCTACTTCTTCTCGTCCTGTTGTTTGCCGTTATTGTTGACTGTTTTGATGATTGTTATTCAAGTGTTATTAGTGAATGAGTCAGTAGTAGTGTGTATTGGTTTATTGACTTAGTGAGAAAAAAAAATACTGTGTTCCCATTAGCCATACTCAATGTATCATAGTATTCTTAGATTAGCATCAGTGTGGATTGTTGAAATGTCTCTTAGGTGTACTGAGCCATAGTGGTAGGTGTAGGCTACCTCCCTGGTTAGGGTAGGAGTAGGTTGGAAAAAAGCTAGGGGTGGCCAAACCAAAACATGGCAGAAATCCATGAAGTCACTGTCTAGTTGACTGAGTCATGTTGGGAGATGTAGACTACCTGGTTGGGGTCCACGAGACGATAGTAATCGATGGTTAGAGAACTTGAACGACATGGCTGAGAATCGTTTGCAATGGCGCAAGTGCATCCGTTCGTTGAGCTCTCTCAAATCCTAATCTTCTGGATTCGTCAGCACCTCTACCTTTGTCTTTCTAACCTTATCTCACTGAATTATATTTCTTGAATAATATCTTCGAACTCTAGTCTTCTTCATTACCAGTAGTACTTCTACTATCTTTATCACTATGGGATTTGATTTGACATTTGCGTCTCTGTGTTAATGTGGTATGGCAACATGAACTTATGTACATACGTACGTAGTCCTACGTTGCAACTGACCTGGTTGGGGCCACGCGAGATGATAGTAATTGATAGTTAGAGACGCTGAATGACATGCCTAAAAATCGTTTGTAATGGTGAAGGTGTATTCATTCTTGGGTTTTTCTCAAAATCTAGTCTTCTGAACTGCTCATCACCTTTATCTTTCTCAGGATTATACTTTTCAAATAATATCTTCGAATCCTAATCTTTCTGATTACTGACTTATACTTGTACTACCTCTACTACTATGGGATTTGATTTGACAATCGCTTCCCTGCGCTAACGTGATATAGCAAACTGAACTTATGTACGTTGTTTCTGACAGACTATTTGGTTAGCAAATGTATGAACCGTGTTAGTCAGTCAAGTGAACTACTGTTGAACTTGGCTGTGTATGGTAGTACAGATTATCTAGTTTTGGGGTCTCATGTAATCCTTATTACCTGTGCTACGTTATGCTAGCATCATTATACATCAAGACAATGTATTAATCGCTTGCTGTTCTGTTATTATACTAAAACTATCAAATCAACTGATACTTTGAGGTTACGCTTATGATCTTCGGTAAAATTAAGAAATCAGTTGTAATATTAGGCAGTGAATTTCAATGATACATTGGAATTGTTGGTATTTGTATCATAATTTACTTAACTACCATATACCTCGTTGTGTATTATTAATTTGGCTGAAAGAAAGTCAAAGGTGGACATACTCAAAAGTTGTATCTGTTTGTGAATTCACTAATTTTCATTATGGGGTTGTGAAGATTGTTAAGTTACACATTTTTTGAAACCATGAATCGATCAATGTTACACCACCATTCGAAACCTGGAAGCACTGGACTTCTGTTTTGCATGGTATGGGAGTCTTCAGCAGTGCACTTCCACGACTCCTGCCCTCCGCAGGACGAAACGGCAGTTCAGTGTTTGCAGGTTTTTAATGGTGGTCTAACACTGATCAATTCATGGTTTCAAAATGTGTAACTTAACAATCTTCACTACCCCGTAATGCAAATTACCTGTGCTCACTAGTGACTAGCTTCGTGAGGAATCTTCTCCGAGTTCTAGTGGGAAGTCGTGACCAGTGAAGTTCAACCTGTTCGGGTGTAGACTAACTATCAAAGACAGTGTAGGATGTTGTGCAAGACAGTGAATTGATCAAGTTATATACCGGCTCAGTGGTCCAGAGTTAAGCGTTCGTGCACAATACCGACGGATCGAGGTTCGATTCCTGCGGGATTCAGGAGTCGTGGATGCGCACTGCTGAAGAGGACTAAACGGCCTTCCAGTGTTTCCGAATTCACTGATTGTCGAAATGAGCCATTTGCACGATGGATGCTGACTATCCGGTTAGAATCCGCATAATTAGCCACTGACACGAAAGTCCTACTCACTATCACGTGACAAGGGTGTTTACGAGATTGACTGTATAAAAAGTGAATTTCCGACTAGAGCTTAAACCGGATCGACTTGGAGGATTTGGAAAACTGATTGCGAATCGCTGGTGCACATATATTTTCCATGATTATGAAAGAACAAATGATTTATGAAACATTTGTTGGTGACAGTCTACTATAGAACTACACCGCTGAACTTTATGTTGTGGATTAGAATTGCAGGTGAAAGGCTCGGCTATTGGTCTTTTAAGGAAACCACCTGATTCTTGTCGTATCCTATCTCACGCAAAAATTCAATTATTTGTGTGACAATAATATTTCGATCCATGTTTATACCGTTAAGTATGTGTTTATCAAGCTGTTCCACTATAGTCAGTATGATTAGTTTATCATTAATTAATCGTGATAACCATGCTTATCAGTTAACATTTACCCACTACAATATGATTAATATTCAATATTAAAGGGGTTATCTTCGTATTGTAAACGGTTATCAGAGGACAGTAGTGAAATGATGATATTAAAATCAGTCAGTATTTGATTGTGACGAATTCGATCTCGTGTGCGTTTACGGGTATGAGGACGGATGTTACTTCCCGGTTAGCAACATTGTGGAAGGATGTTTCTTGAAGAACCTGAAAACGAATATGCATTAACGTTGATCGTAGTGACTTGGGATCATGATTACAGAGCCCACGGGATAACTGCTTGAGGCCGGTCACACACTGTTTTTCTATGGGTACTTTTTAAAGTGTAAGCTCCGCTCTCCAAATAGCCTAACCACCGGAGACGGAAATCCGTGCGGTGAGGCGAGGTGTGAAAGTTTTAGGCCCGACATTTTCTTACCTCTTCCTTGTGAGAAGTCAGTATCTCTGCAGATACTGATTGTTTGAGGGAAACACCATACTACTGTGACACACCTCTACAGTCAGCAGTAAAACTTCGACCTCAGAACTTGAGTTGCTACTTTTAGTTCTCCAATCGACCTTCCAGGGATGGTAGAACCTACATGAACTTATATTCCAGCCAATATAGCTCACGGTTGGGTGGTCACGATAGACAAGCCCGACCACTACCACGTCAAGGTAGTAGCTACGATCGGAATTATACTGAAGTGGATTCACATCTTTGATCAATAAACTTAGAAAAATATCCGTTTATTTAAATGCTTTTATTGACATCTGATTTATAAATAACTAAATTAGTTTGCTTAGTTGAAATCACCAAATATTTTTAGTTAAATCGCTATTAAAGAGTAAGATTCACTGGATGGCTGTTTCGTGCTAGTATATAGTTCTTCAGCGTTGCACACCCTCAAGTGTGAATCGAATTTGGGGCTTAAAATCTTGTATGTGAACGCTTAACCTCTTTGTACTGATGAGTAATTCTATACTAGGACAAAACGACTTTCGATTGGTTCCAGGTCTCTAATGGTGATTTGTTTAAGATCAGTTCAACTATAAAAATAATCATCGGAAATTACCTTCTCCTTAATCTCTTTACTGTGATTAATAGTAAGAAAGGATGTAGTTCAGTCAAAATATTACTCACTAACGTTTTATGTCTTTATTAAGTGGATTAGCGTCTAGCTTGATGTGGAGCAATAAATAAGACAAATGAATTTTAACTAGCAGTAGGAGGCAGGATGCATGTAACTTCCAACCTAAGGACCTATCAGTGCTTGTGTTCACACTGACACTCAAGCCTAGTACCTTTCAGTCTAAACTTCGAACACCTCGTCCATCAAACCACTGGTTACCAAAGAAGACTGATTAAAATGTTTTGTTTTTCAATTCGCGAAGCTCGGCTTCCATCATGTGGAGTCATAACTCTTCTACTAAATGAAAACCTTCCAACTTCCAGGTCAGGATTTAAATTTTTTTAGTTAGTTAGAATCTATTTAACGAGTTGATTTTCTACAGGATGTAATCGCTAACCCCATGCCCAAACCTCCTCCCCTATTCCGGGCTTTGAATCGGCAGTAACTCCAAAAGGGCTCCAGGTGGAGTGTACTGGGACATTCGATTAAGCAATGTTGTTTTTAGAAAATGAGAACGAGGTAAGGATAGCAAATCAACAGATGAAGTTTTGAAACTTCATCAGTTGAGGTGGTTGGGATATGTGTTACGTATACCCAACCAACGACTGCTTCGTCGAGCGATGTTTTGTGGTGCAGGGGTTGGTTGGACGAAAGCTAGGGGCAACCAAAACAAAACATGGCCCAAATCCGTGCAGTCATGTTTGTAAGTGTAGAATACCAGGTTGGGGTCCGTGAGACGATAATAACCGATGATCAAAGACCTTGAAGGACTTGGCTCGAAATCGTTTGCAATGGTACAGGTGCATCCACTCTTTGTCTTCTCTGAAATTCTAATTTTCTGAATTCCTCATCACCTTTATCTTTCTCTTCTCAAATCTATTTCACTAAATTATACTTCTTGAATAATTTCTTCGAATCCTAATATCTCTAGCTTTATGGGATTTGAATTGACAATTACATCTCAGTATGCTATTATGGTATGGCAACCTCAGTCAGTCAGTCAGTTGCAACGTAGAACTTCGTGCGTACCTAGGATTTCAGAGAGCACAACGAATGGATGCACTTGCGCTACTGTAAACGGTTTTGAGCCATGTCGTTCAAGGTCTCTAACCATCGGTGACTTAGTCTCGCGGACCCCAACCAGATAGTCTACATCTACCAACATGACTCAGTCCGCTTGTCAGTGACTTCATGCATTTCTGCGATGTTTTGGGTTGGCTACCCCTAGCTTTCTTCCAACCTACTCCTACACCACAAAACATAGCTCGTCGAGGCAGTGTGGTTAGGCATACGTAATACATGTCCCAACCACCTCAACTGATGAAGTTTCACTACTTCATCTTTTGATCTACCGTCCCTACCTAGAACTCGTTTCCTGACGACAGTATTGCTTACTCGGTTGTCCCACGATATACGAGCAATGCTCCTAAGACGTCTATGATCGAATACTAGTAGTAACCTACGAACATCTTCTACTCCTAACGGCCATGTTTCGCATCCATATAGGAGCACGAAGCGAACTGCTGCACAGTACACCCGTCCTTTGGTTAGCGAACGGATATCTCGCCTACGCCATAAACGACGTAAATTGGCAAAAGCAAATCGAGCTTTCTGAATCCGCGTTGAGAAGTTCTGTATTGTAACTGACTGTCTAACTGATTTACCCAATACAAATACATGTATCCGCGTCCTCAAATCATATCCTCAATGTACAAGCTATTGATATCTGCCCAAATCGAGGTTGTGTTGGTTTGAAGTTCGAATCTTGGAATTTGTAGCACCAAATTAGTCAAATGCTTTAAATAAACTATGAAGTTATTACTACGAATCAGTAAAAAAATTTTGTAAAACTCTTACCGTGTTTTTCGCTCGCTATTTGACTGTTAAATTACTCAATCTATTGCTGAATACAGGAATTTGTAATTAGGATCTAAGATATTACGTCTTTTTTTCTGTTAATTACAACTGTACTTATTCATTTCAAACATTTTTAAACAATTTTCTGTTTTTTCTTTCTCTAAAATAAAAATTATCAAAGGCTGATAATAATAAATTGAGCAAAAAACTAACATCCAACACAACAGAATTCACTAGAATTTTACAACAATCTAAAGGTTATGCAAATTTATTCACTGATCAATATATTGATCAGTTGGTTGAGGATATTTTAGCCATTCGCAAAGAATACCCCAATTTATTGGTGGCGAGTACTAATCACGATCATGATGATGATTGTGATTCTGATGACAAGAAATCGATAAACACAATTCAGCCAAATCCTAATGAGACAACAATGACAACCATTCAATCCGCGCGTTTAAAATTAGATGAAATATTTGAACGAATTCAATGTTCAATTAATGCGCATTATGATGATTATGCGATGAGAAGAGAAGTGTTAGTATCGAAAAAAAAATTATTTGATGAATGTCAAGCGCCGATAGATGTAAGTTTTTTAATTTTTTTTTGTGTTTTTTAGATTAGGAAAATTGAATTTAGTGAAATCATTAGTGGGCACCTGAACGAGTGATAGGGAGTGAAATAGTCGCTTCACTTATCTGGGGAGTCTCATCAGCGCTGATAGCCTGATAGACTGACGAAATCTCAGCTCGGATACAGAAAGCTCGATCAGCTTTTGCCAACATGCGTCACTTATGGCGTAGGGGTGATATCCGTTGCCTAATCAAAGGACGAGTGTACTGCGCAGCAGTTCGCTCCGTTCTCCTATATGGCTGTGAAACATGGCCGTTAAGAGTAGAAGATGTTCGTAGGTTACTAGTATTCGATCACAGATGTCTTAGGAACATTGCTCGTATATCATGGGACAACCGAGTAAGCAATGCTGTCGTTGAGAAGCGAGTTCTAGGTAGGGACGGCAAATCAAAAGATGAATTAGTGAAACTTCATCAGTTGAGGTGGTTGGGACATGTGTTACGAATGCCTAACCACCGACTGCCTCGACGAGCTATGCTTTGTGGCGTAGGAGTAGATTGGAAGAAAGTTCGGGGTGGCCAACCCAAAACATGGCAGAAATGCATGAAGTCACTGACAAGTGGATTGAGTCATGTTGGTAGATGTAGACACCAATGGTTAGAGACCTTGAACGACATGGCCCAAAATCGTTTGCAATCGCACAAATGCATCCATTCATTGGGCTCTCTCAAATCCTAATCTTCTGGATTCGTCAGTCAGCATCTCTACGTTTGTCTTTCTAACCTTATCTCACTGAATTATACTTCTTGAATAATATCTTCAAACCCTAATGTTCTCCATTACCGTTGATACCTCTACTATCTTTATCACTTTGGGATTTCATTTGACATCAGCGTCTTTGTTTTAATGTGGTATGGCAACATGAACATACGTACGTAGTTCTACGTTGCAACTGACTGACTGACTGAAATCATTACTGTGCATTGTTTAACAGTGTTTATGTAGAGAGATCTCTTACTGTTTGGGGAAGATTAGATCCTTAGAATACATTTGGAAAAGGTTCTAATTTTGTAATTTTATTTCTGGAATTTTGAATTTTATGTTTTAGCGCCAAAAACGCTCATATTGATGACTACTCGGAAATTCTCGACTGTCATTGGTTGATGAATTATTTTAATTTCGCTATTTTGTGTCTCTCATCAAGGGCATTGTTTCTTTCACTGTATAAATAAGCTTGAGTTGTGTGCTTGTGGATCTCGTACTTTCTTTTTGCCTGTGGAATACATTTCTCTATGTTTTATCAAAATTTCTTCCTCTCGTTAGTGAGACCTAAGATGATCGAATTAGAGTAGCCTATCGTGTTGCGGAATTACTGATCTTCGTTCCGTTTACCAAGTAAGGTGGACTCGTAATAGCTGCAAGCATATCACTTAGTTAGTTATTTATATATGTCTGTTGTCCCGCATAAGCCGCCGCCTAGCATTCTCCAACCTGCTCATTCTTGGGTCTTCTTTTCTAGTTCTGTGCAGTTGTTGTTCATTCTTCTCATGTCTGTCTCCATTTCTCGGCGTGAGGTGTTCATTAGTCTTCCACCTTTCTTTTGGCCTTGACGATTTCAAGCGAGGGCTTGTCTTGTGATGCAGTTGGGTGATTTCATCAATGTGTGTTCTATCCACTTCCAGCGCTGCTTCCTGATTTCTTTCTCCGCCGGAATCTGATTTGATCTCCAGAGATCTTATCAGAGGTTTAACATTAGTTGTTTAAATGATGTGACCTCTGCAAACTCTTATTCTATGAATTATTTTAGATGGTAAATAGGTTATCTAAAATTTCCTCTTGTTCTCCACTGTCTAATTTTTAAGGTGTAATGGTTCACATTACTATTAATAATACTACTCGCAAGTCCAAATCAGTCAGTCAGCCAGTCAGTCAGATGCAACGTAGAACTTCGTACATAAGTACATCAATTCATGTTGCCATACCACACATTAGCACAGAGAAATGTGATTGTCAAATCAAATCCAATAGTAGTAGAGGTAGTAAAGGTATTAAAAGTAATCGGAGAGGTTAGGATTAGAAGATATTATTCAAGAAGTATGATTCAGTGAGACAAGTTTAGAAAGACAAAACTAGAGATGTTAAAGAATCCAGAAGATTAGCATTTGAGAGAACACAAAGAATAAATGCATCGGCGCCATTGCAAGCGATTTTGAGCCATGTCATTCAAGGTCTCTAACCATCGATTATTATCATCTCACGGACCCCTACCAGGTAGGTAGTCGACAACTAACGACATGACTCAATCCACTTGTCAATGGCTTCATGGATTTCTGCCATGTTTTCGTTTGGCCGCCCCTAACTTTCTTCCAACCTACTCCTACACTACAAAACATAGCTCGTTGGGGCAGTCAGTGGTTAGGCATACGTAACACATGTCCCAACCACCTCAACTGATGAAGCACAAGTCCAAATAGTAGTAAATAATATGGCGTTTCGAATCGGTGACTTACAAGATGAGAATCAACTGCTTTAATCTTTTTGGGTTGTTATTTCAAATTCGGTTCAACTAAAATCTTCCATGTTGTTGAAACTGACACCGATTTTGAGATGGTGGATAAAACTTGTAGCTCAGGTGGATGATTGTGGTGGTGTTTCGTTCTCTGAGCTGGTTGTTTTGGTTGTGGAGCTTTCATTGTTCTTCTGAACAAAATCATCAGCACAAACTTCGGATAGAAGAAGTGAAGTATTCGAATTTCCCCAGGTTTAACCTGTAGCTTGTTCTGCTAACCTCGATCTTGATTAGTTGCTGTTGACCTGAAACCGGTCGTTGTTTGCACATTTGTTTTGATTGTATTCCCCTTTTGATCTATTTCTTGATCCTATGTCGACTATGTTTTTTCTGATTGGTTGATAAATTGAGTCAATGTCGATCTGTTTGTTGATTGCAATTGATTGCAATCCATAGTTGCAAACAAAGACAAGTCAAAGGTCAACAACAACCAATCAAGATCGAGGTTAGCAGAACAAGCTACAGGTCAAACGTGGAGAAATTCGAATACTTCACTTCTTCTATCTGAAGTTTGTGCTGATGATGTTGTTCAGAAGAACAATGAAAGCTCCACAACCAAAACAACCAGCTCAGAGAACGAAACATCATCACAACTGACACTGATTGTTATACAGCCAAACAACTACGTCTGTAGTACAAAGGAAACATATCCGAAAATAACCCATATGAACTAGAAATTCTGTACATAATTTTAACTTGGAAGTCAACTGTTTCGATTGTAGTTTTTTCCTTTGACCTACGGTAAGTTAAGTGTTATTGTAGACAATATAATTGACTCTAACCTCATTTAAGATTGTCCATACCTTGGAACTCAGTACGTTCAGTTAATCTTTAGTCAGTTACAACGTAGAACTTGGTACTTACGTACGTCAGTTGAAGTTGTCAGACCACATTAGCACAGAGATGCGAATCCCATAGTAGTAGAGAGAGTAGAAGTATCGGCAGTAGTGGAGAATACTATGTTTCGACGATATTATTCAAAAAGTAGAATCTAAAGAAGTAAACTTAAAAGAAAAAGATAAAGCTGATGAGGAATTCAGAAGGTTAGGATTTGCGAATGTTTTGAAGGATCCCTTGAGTCCATAAGATTCAGTGCCTTTTGTGATTTTTTGGACAGCATCAATGCAACTCCTTGTATGTCTGTGTGTGGAGGGCACTTTCTTCTTCTTCATGGCCGGAGTAGTACATCAGCTCTCTTGAAGCTATTCTTAGTTGTCAAACCTGCGTCCAACGTGTTTCACTGGTTCCAAACACTTCCAGGTTGTATCTTTTTTTTTCTGCAACAATTTTGAAAAATCTTCCTGTCTCCTACAACGTTTTTACCTTACATGTACCCAAAAAGAATGGTTGCTCTGGTTGTCAGAAGGGATATCATCGGCCTTGTGACTGTCGAAGGAACTCGGCTTTCATCATGAGACGTCATGAGTGAAAACCTTCCAACTCCCAGAGCGGAGTTAAAATGATTTGAATTATTTTTTTTCTTGTTAGCGTTTCCTTAGCGAGTTAGTTTTCTATCCCACGCCCAACCCTCCTACTTTATCCGGGCTTGGGACTGTCAGTAGCCCAAGAGGGTTTCCAGGAGGAGTTTTTACTCTTTTAGCCTATTAAAAGGAAATCGCACCTTAGGTTTTGTTTTCCTTTTTCTCAAAACGAGTCATAACTTAATGTCTCACTTACTCAAATCTTATTCTGTTACATATTATACTTTATACTTGATTGTTGTTACGCATGCACGTAAACTTGTCAATTTGATAAGCTTTAGCTATTACGAGTTTACCTTAGTCGGTGAACGAGAGCGAGGATTGACGATCCGGCGACACGGCATACTGCTCGAATCCGATTGTTCCAACCTCCGTTGAGTGGAAGAAGAAAACTTGATATGAAATAGAACCTGTATTCTACAAACATCCAGAAAGTACGAGGTCCGAGTCCAGAAAACAATCAGCATCCCGGACTAGGGATCCGGGTCGGGCTCATAAAACGTTACAGATAATGCGTATTTATACATTTCTGGTCGAATAGGAAACAGCTTTGAAGTCTGTGATATTGACAGTTAAGACGACCAATAGGAAGTAACATATGAAGTGACACTGATACTCAGGACGACCAATAGGAAACAACATTAAAGTACGTGACATCGGATAGCTAGGACAACCTTAATACTAACCAATAGGAAATCGACCAATAGAATTAAACTTACAAAAAATAATTCTCTTAAGATATTTAATGAATATCTTAACCATTGGTATATTATATATATATATATATATATATATATATATATATATATATATATATATATATCTACATATATCAATCAACTGTCAATGTTACTACTACACTACTAACTTCCTTTTACCCCTTTCACTAATAAAATTAGCTCGAGAAATTCAAAGAATCATCTGGAAAAATTCAACAATTCATTGTAACATTATCTAAATTAATACCAATCTATGCAAATTTAACATTGAACACTTGTCCTTCATTGAATAAAGAAAATATTGAACATTGTACCACTACTATTACTAATACTACTACTACTGCTGCTACTACCACTACCACTACTCAATATTTTGAAACAATATATAAAGCAGTGAAAAATTTAGAAAGAATCACGCTAGCCAATGAAAAATTAGAAAATGGATTAAAACGTATCACACAAGTAAATATTGTGCTAATTATTTTGTGTGTATGTGTGCTGTTGTTGTAAATTTATTATTTGTCATTTATTGGTAAAAAGGGAAGCCATTATTTATGAAGTAACAATTCAACGGTAATATGGCCTGCGATACTCTGTAGGATAGAATAATGAGAACAATCAGTAGAGCATTCAATGAATGCAGCCAAACTTACGTCAGTCAGTCAGTCAGATGCAACGTAGAACTTCCTACGTAAGTACATCAGTTCATGTTGCCATACCACATCAGCACAGAGATATAATTGTCAATTCAAATCCAATAGTAGTTAGAGGTAGTAAAGGTATTAGAAGTAATCGGAGAGGTTAGGATTAGATGATATTATTCAAGAAGTATGATTCAGTGAGAAAAGTTTAGAAAGTCAAAACTAGAGGTGTTGAAGAATCCAGAAGATTAGGATTTGAGAGAATACAAAGAATAAATGCACCGGCGCCATTGCAAACGGTTTTGAGCCATGTCATTCAAGGTCTCTAACCATCGATTACTACTATCATCTCGCAGACTCCAACCAGGTAGTCGACAATTACCAACATGGCTAATTCCACTCGTCAATGACTGGTTTTCTCTAGTCTGCTCTTCCTTGAGGTTTCGTAGTATTATTGAGGCCAAAATTTTAGATACTATATTCCCCTGTGACAATCACAGGGGAATCAGTCTAACTTGCCAGTCTAACAGCGAAACTTGCGTTGACTTTCTCAAGTCGACCAGTGATGTCTATCCAAACGAAGGATATGTTACCTGAGTTGGCCTATTTCTATGTGTATTTACAAATCCAGTTGCTCCTGTGGAGATAGCTGTATTGGGGGCGTACTACTATCAAGCAACTTAACCAACGAATGAGTGAACATCTCCAAGCATGATTTAAGAAGGTTCAGTCAAATAAAGATAATACACAGTTCGATCTTAACACACCTGGTTGATAGTGGTCATATTGTAGATAAGTCTTGTATACCTCCATCATTTCCCAGCGGAGTTCGATTCCGTCTCCTACACATAGCAGAAGCCATAGGAATTCGTAAATTCAACACATAAATTGTGTTCAGATGAAATTCGTAACAGCCCTATCTCTTCTGTGGCCGGATATGACGTAACTAACGATTGACATTATATTTTTTAATTTTATTTCTATTTTTACACATTTGCTTATTATGTAATGGTTTTGATGTTTTTATTGATTATTTGAAGTCTATTTATCCACGAGGTTTGACCTACTATTGGAGAAAACTTTAGTTATCGTATTTTATAATCTTCTTACTACTACTATCAGTACACCTCTGTCTTCTTGCTATCGACTTGTACTTTTACCTGTTATGTGTAGTAGTGACGTAATAATCTATTTCATTTCATTGTGATTATTGACTCATAAATTGCCTTGATTGGTTTAACATTTTCATATGGATATTCATGTATATTAGCGAGTAAAGCCTGATGACGATCTAATCGAAAACAACACTATTGTTCGCTTATTATCTGTGTTGTTCTAATTTTCACAATGGCAATCTTTAATACTCTTAAATGTTTGTCCATTGAATTCGGCATGTAGTTCTCCAATACTGTAGCTTCAGGGCAAAGATTAGCATCATTTAAAATCAAACGTGTCGAAGTGATTATGTCAGTTGGTGGTGAAACCACAGAAAACTGTCAGAATACTGTGAAGGGAAATCAGAAACAGTTGGTTAGTTGTGTCATTGTAATACAGAGACCGTTCAGTACTAAACATTAATAGTAATCTCTATTGGGATTCAACCGCATCACCTTCTGATATGAAGTGCGAGCGCTTTCTCTTATAGACCATCCATCCATTCTTCGTGTTCTCCTAAATTCTAATCTGATTTCCTCATAACCTTCATCTTTCTCTACTCAAATTTATTTCAGTAGATGATACTCCTTGAATAACATCTTCAAACCGTAATCTTTTGGATTACTGCTCATACTTCTACTACTTCTATCACTATGGGATTTGAATTGACTATTCCATCTCTGTGTGCGAATGTGGTATGACAACTTGAACTTATGTACGTATGTACAAAGTTCTACGTTGTTGCTGATTGTCTGATTATCTTGTAGACCAATTAGCCGATATCCAATCATGTACATATTTAACTGTAATCGAATCTCAATGCTGAACAATGATTTACCGAAGCGTTTGACTGATAACTGCTTCACATCTGATATGTTTGAAATCGATTGGTCATAGTTTCTCATTAGAACTCCAGGAAATCGCATTTTTAAACTTGTCACTAGTCAACACATAATTATTGTTAGTATAGAAAGGGGGCGGAATTTTCATAGATTAATTTGTGCAACCTAAAGTTCAAAGTTTGATTCCTGTTAGCAGTCAGTCAGTTGCAACATAGAACTTCGTACGTATGTACATAAGTTCATGTTGCCATACCACATTATTAGCACAGAAACGCAAATGTCAAATCAAATCCCATAGTGATAAAGATAGTAGAGGTATCAACGGTAATGGAGAAGACTAGGGTTTGAAGATATTATTCATGAAGTATAATTCAGTGAGATAAAGTTAGAAAGACAAAGGTAGAGGTGCTGATGAATCCACAAGATTAAGATTTAAGAGAGCCCAGAGAATGGATGCATTGCGCCATTGCAAACGATTTTGAGCCATGTCGTTCAAGGTCTCTAACCATTGATGACTTTCGTCCCGCGGACCCCAACCAGGTAGTCTACATCTACCAACATGACTGCATGCAACATG